GGATGACTAGGTGATAAAATGAAAAAAATGAAGAAAGGGTGGAAATGTTTTTGAAGGAAGTGTACTTTGATTGTTGAAAAATTATAATGCTTAGGGAGGTTTTGAGTCACTCTAACCAAAATTGTTCCCTACCTTAACCAAAAGCCTACATTATATCCCTTTAAGTCCTAATTGATTTTGAACCGAGTGTTTCTATATTAGTGGAGAAATACATGAAGGGCAAGCCTATGGTACTACTTTGAACATCTTTGTGAAAGAGAGTTAATTCTTTCCACTTGATATCCCAGTTATGGTTTGAATTGAAATTTATGAGTGTGGGATTTTCTCTTGCTTGTGACAACATGTTGAGATTTGAGTTGTTACATTGTTCCTTTTTCCACTTAGAAGGGATGAACAAAAGAAAACTTATTTTGTAATGAAGAGGGAAATTTTGAAGCTTTAGTTCCATGACTTGATTGATACTACAATTAACTTGGTGTTTGAGCACTTGAAATGAAATGATAGTTTTAAGAAGTTGTTGATGATTCATATGCCTTGGATTAATTGTTGGTACCAATTAAAGTCATATGTTAGTGGTTAAAGTATATTTTTTGACTTGGTATGATATTGATGCACTATTGAGTTGATTACTTTGAAAAAGATTTTGTGCTTTGATTGCTTGAGGACAAGTAATAGTGTAAGTATAGGGGTTTGATAAGTTAGTATTTTACCAACTTATCTCTTCTTTGATCCTAGATTTTTCCTCTGTTTGATTGATAAAATAGTGTGTTTAATGTCTTTTACTTCTATTTTATAGGTTTTATGTGATTTAGAAGTGATCGGGAAGAAACCAAGTCAAAAAGGAGCTAAAATGAACAAATGAATTTTGCCCAATGAATTACCCTTCGCGAATGCGAAGGAGGATCACTAACGCGTAGCTTCAGATGTCAAACCTTCGTGAACGCGAAGGAATGAACGCGAACACGAAGCTTCAAAAGTAAAACCTACGCGAACGCGGAGGCATGATCGTTAACGCGAAAATTTAGAAGTCAAACCTTCGCGAACGCGAAGGCATTAAAGCGAAAGCAAGGAAGAAATTGGCGGAAAAACTTGACAGTTCTGGAAATTCATATTTTTTGGTTCCAAACCATTACTCGACCCAACTCATTTGGGAAATATATTTGGCTACTTGTTGGTCTTATTGACTAGAGAACACAAGTTTTGGAGCTAGGGTTCTTTCACACACACTTTGATGTTGAAGATTTGAAGCTTTTGATTGACAATTTCTTACCCATTTTTACTCATTTATTCACTTCCTTTCTTTGTATTGAATATCTAAGTGTGTAGTATTTATTCCAACACTTGATCTTGTTTATGGGAATATTTATTATTCAAGTTTGGATTAAATCTGTTGTTATACTTATTTATGGAATGGTTTCTATTTATTATGATGTGAGTTATTATTTCTTCAATTATTCTTGTTCTTTAATGTTTCCAAAGGGATTAGCTAACCCTAGGATTCGGCCATTAACTTCAAAATTATTCTTGGAAAAGATAATTAGTGTTTGGGAATGATTAATTAATAAGAACTCGAGGTGTTAACCCTCACTTTATAGATTTTACCTATGGATATGTGTCACGACCCAAAACTTAGCCTGTCGTGGTGGCGCCTAACGTGGAACTAGGCAAGCTGACACCTCAAAACATTTTCAATACTTTTAAATGAAAAAATGAAATAACACACATTTAAATAGTTAAAGCTCTCATAAACTGGATAGAAAATAAAAACTCAATACGGAAGATCCTAAACCCAGGGTGTCACTGAGTACATGAGCGTCTATAAAACATGAGTCTAAAATTACTAGGTATGAAAAGGTGAAAGTAAATACATAAAGCTGAAAGATAGGTAGGGAGAGTTAAGGTCTGCCAACGCCGGGCAACTACCTTGAAATATCCGAATGATCAAACTGCTCAGATAATCAACACCCACCGTGTCCGAAAACACCTGCATATGCAGACAAAGTGCAAGGTGTAGCGTGAGTAGTGACGAGCTTCACAAAGACAAGACCAACAATTGGACTGAAAGTAGTGACGAGCTTCACAAAGATAGTTCAATTACAAAAAAATACAATACAAGAAAATAGATACGCTTTTAGGTTCGACATTTGAAGCCAAAATAGTTAATTCATGTCAAGTTCAATTGAAACAGGCACTCGCACTAAGGTTAATTCATACTATCTGATGGTAGACTATAATTGCATATTTCGGCCATTAATTGCACTCTAATTTGCTCCAGTTTACTAGTGTTTGAGCTTTAAACGGAATTATTTTGCAATGAGTGTGTGTTTTACTATTTGTAGGAGCGATTCCGACTTACAATGAGGTTGTGGAGCTAATTTGAGCTATTCTTGAGCTTTGAAGTCTGAGTAAAAGCCATAGATTAAGTTGGGACCGTAATCCAGGAGCAACGAACAGTAATGCACTTGACGAAGAGAAACGAAGAATGAAGCAGGAAGCAACCTAGGTGCGCGAGCGCTCACTGGGCGCGCAAGTGGAGCAGAACACTGTCTAAAGTGCGCGGCCATATGCGCGATCACCTGCCTAGGTGCACGGCCGCACACGTCCGGTCCGGAAAATTTTTCAAGCCTATTTTTGTAATTGGAGGAGATTCCACTTGACCTATATGAAGCCTAGCTCATCTAAAAAGAGGGTATCTTGGATTTAGAGAGCAACTTAAGGGGGAGAATAAGGAAGGAAACAACGGAGGCGCAAAGTACTTGATCTAATTCATTCAATACGGAAGTTGGTTTGAATTTTGGAATTGTAATGTCTTCTTGATCTAATTAGGGTTATCGATGGATGTTGTGATTTGACTATTGTTTTTGGTTTTACTCTCTGTTAATTGCCCGAATTCATTGAATGAGTTATTAATTAGATTGCAAAGCTTATTGTGGTTTTACTTTAATCAAAAGAGAAGTGTTGCTGCAATTTGCATTATGCCATATCATTTAGGTTGATGTTATACCTCTTATAGGTAATCGAAAGAACTTAGAGAGTTATCAATTAACCTAGTTTAGAAGAATAATTGAGAGGTATTCTTCAAAGGATCATTCATTCACTGCGTTTGTGCATATGTTCATATGACGTGTTATTAGGTTGATTAAGGGAACTCTCATTCATTCAGATGAAGAGTTTGATTCCCTAATGTAGCCTAATCATCTGTTGAAATCGAATGAGTCAATAGAAATTAAGAATGAAATTAACCCAGAGTTACCCTGAACAATAGTTGATCATATCTTGTCGCAACCCTTACTTCTCACCCTGATATTAAATCATTATTCCTTAATCATTAATGTTCCATTAGTTTCTTACAATAGATAACCTTAGTTTAATTTCTAGTCGATAATAACATCAATCAAAGGTTTGTTATCATGGATAGTGTTGAGCTGAAGATTTATTAGAATATTATTTAAACCAATCTCTGTAGAGACGATTTAATACTATACTACCTTTGACTAGCGAGCCTATGTTTTATACACTGGAGCATCATATTTTCCATCTTTGACAGTCAATGGATCAGCCCTGTATAGGTTGTGCCGAAAAAGGGGGCATGATGGTGGTAAAAAAACAAAAGACAACGAGTTAATTCCTACCAAAGCAGATACTGGGTGTAGGATATGCATTGACTACCGGAGATTAAATGATGCAACAAAGAAGGATCACATCCCTCTTCCTTTCATTGATCAGATGTTGGAGAAGGTGGCGGGGCATGGATGTTACTATTTCTTAGATGGATATTCAGGGTACAATCAGATACCCATTGCTCCCGAGGATGTTAAGAAAAGCACATTTACATGCCCGTCCGAAATCTTTGCATACCGGATAATTCCTTTCAGGCAATGCAATACACCAGCTACTTTTCAGAGATGCATGATGTCAATATTTTCAGATTTAAATGGGAAGTGTCTTGAGGTGTTCATGGATGACTTTACTCTAATTGTAGATGACTTTGAAGATTGCTTGAGGAACCTCGAACTTGTTCTGAAATGATGTGAGGAGACTCACCTGGTACTCAACTGGGAAAAGTGTCACTTCATTGTTAAGGAGGGGATAGTCCTGGGCCATAAAGTCACAACTGAAGGTATTCAAGTTGACAGAGCTAAAGTAGACGTGATAGCCAAGCTCCCACCACTGACCTCAGTGAAGAGCATCATAAGTATTTTGGGACATGCCGGTTTCTATAATAGGTTCATTAAGAATTTTTCAAGCATTACCAAGCCCTTGACTGCATTACTTGCCAACTATGTAAAATTTGTATTTCATGTGGAGTGTCTCAGAGCATTCGAACTGATGAAGGAGAAGCTAGTGAGTGCCCCCATAATGGTGACTCCTAACTGGAGTGAGCCTTTTGAGATAATGTGCGGTGCCAGTGATGTGGCAGTAGGAGCATTGTTGGGGCAGAGGAGAGATAAACTGTTCTGACCCGTTTACTATGCAAGCCGAATCTTGAATAATGTTCAAATGAACTATGCTACCACAAAAAAGGAGTTCTTTGCATTAGTCTTTGCTTTCGACAAGTTCAGATCCTATTTGGTGGGAAGTAAGGTAATAGTGCATACTGATCACTCAGCACTGAAATATTTGCTGAGTAAGAGAGAGTCCAAACCGTGTCTGATGCAGTGGCTATTGTTGCTACAAGAATTTGATCTAGAAATCAAGGACGGGAAGGGCACGGAAAATTTGACCACCTGTCGCGATTGGAGAAACCACATGTTGAAGCAGTGGACATTTAGGAAGAGTTCCCAGATGAGAAGAGTTTTTCCATTCCAGCAGTCTCCGATAGACCATCATGGTTCACCGTCATAGCCAACTTCTTGGCTAGTGGGTGGCTACCACACGACTTAACTTCATATCAGAAAAAGAAGTTGCAAGGTAATGTAAGATGTTATTTTTGGAATGACCCTTTCTTGTTTAAACTGTGTGCAAATGGTGTGATTCGAAGATATCTTCCTGATGGCAAAATGGCAAGCATTCTTTGTCATTGCGACGATGAAGCAGCTGGAGGACACTATGGCGGGAATCACACTGCAGGAAAGGTCATGGAAGCAAGGGTAGGTAATATTAGCAAGAGGGACAAAATGCCTCTCAACTCCATTTTGGTATGTGAAATTTTTGATGTTTGGGGAATTGACTTCACGGGTCCGTTCCCATCGTCACACTCTTATGAGTATATCATAGTAATCATTGACTGTGTCTCTAAGTGGGTCGAATCAATCCCTATTAGGACCAATGATGCTCGGGTGGTGTGTGAATTCTTAAGGAAAAATATCTTTACCTACTTTGGGACACCTAGAGTGATTATCAATGATAATGGGTCACATTTTGTGAACAAGCAGTTTGCTGAACTCCTGTCCAAGTATGAGGTCACACACAAAACGAGAACCTCGTACCATTCCCAGACTAGTGGGCAAGTCAAAGTGGCTAACCGTGAACCTAAACGAATTCTTGAAAAGACGGTTAGTGCTTATCGTAAGAATTGGTCGGTAAAGTTGGAAGAAGCTCTATGGATGTACAGAATTGCGTTCAAAACAACCATAGGGATTTCATCATTCAATCTAGTGTATGGAAAATCGTGTCACCTACCTATTGAGATAGAACATAAAGCTTATTGGGCAGTTAATATGATTAATCTTGATCTTAGTCTTGCAGGTGAATACAGGTTGGCGCAGATGAATGCATTGGAGGAGTTTAGACTGGACGCGTATGAAAATGTGCAGATTTATAAGGAAAAGACTAAAAGGTGGCATGATCGTCTGATTAAGCCAAATGAGTTTCATGAAGGGGACACAATCTTACTGTACAATAGTAGACTCAGATTATTTCTCGGATAATTAAAGTCTGGATGGACGGGACCGTATGTGGTGAAACATGTATCACCATATAGGGCAATTGAGATCCAGAACCAGGACGGAATGGAAAGTTTCAAAGTGAATGAGCACAGACCAAAACTGTATTTTGCTGGAGGGTTTGCTCAGCAATCCTCGAGCATCAAAATCAATTGAGGATGCCCGGTTGAGTCAGAACTACTTCTAATTCTTCTACTAGTTATATTTTCACTATTATTTATAATGTAAAATAGATAGAAATTAGTGTATAGTATGATATGGTAGGTGCAGGAAGGTACATGCCGCGGATCTGATGGGGTGACCGCGCACCTGGTCACGCAATTTCACCAGTGTATTGCCTCAAGTGAGCGACTGTGCACCGACCACGCATCAGGTAAGTTTTTCCCTTTTCATTTTAATTTCAGACTTCCCCCTCTAAAAACCCCCAATTCTAAAATTGCCTCTTCATCTCCCCTACACTAAACAACCTTAATTCGACCCCCTTCTCTCACCCCCTCTTTGTAAGACAAACTACCCCCCTCTCTCCCAAGTCCCTTCAGGTAAGTGAGCTGCTTTCTCTCTCTCTTTTCTTAGTTATTGTATTTGATGTTTCTTGTGTTGTAGCAGATTTTTGTTTTANAGGGGGTGTAGGAAGAACTTTTCTTGTTATGTGTTTGGGAAATTGCCTCAATGAGATTGTGCGTAATGTTGTGACCAAGTGTAAGGATGAAGTCTCAGTCGCCTCTCTTGGTTCGCCATGTGATTTATTGGCTAATAGTTGGCAGTTTGTTACGGGCACTATGGCGCCATCCAAGAAATAAAAAACCACAGGTACCTCCACAAGTGCTCAAGCGGGCACATCCCGGTCACGACCTTCGGCATCGGCTCGCCCATATGATCAGAACAAATTTGTTTCCTGGGAAGCCCAGGAACTATTCCAGCACAAGGCTACAGAAAAGCCCATACCAGAGAGGGGAATTTATATTGTGTCCCTCCAGAATGACTTTCCCCGTGTGTATCATGAATTGGTTAGGCGTCACTTGGGGATATTCTTTGAAGAACCTAAAGAGGCGAACTTTTCTCAGGAGTTTTATGCAAACTGCCCGGAACATGACGCCCATGTCTGCACAGTCAGGAAGAAGAGAGTGGACTTCCCCAATGAGGCCATCCCAAGGGCCTGGAATTCATGGAAGATGCGGATACAGTTGACTACTATGCCATGCACAACGGAGAACCATACACGTGACGCATGTTCTTCGCAACTATTTGTGTACCTGTCAAGGAGGTAGTGTGGATAAAGGAGGGGCAAAAATTTCACTCAGCTTCGCTGAGATTTGAAAGAAAGTACTGGCTCTACATTATCAATAAGCTCTTGCTGCCTTCAGGAAACACCACTGAGGTGAATGGTCCTCGGGCGGCTCTAATTTGGTGCTTTGTCAATAGCCACGATTTTGATGTGGCTCAGATCCTTCAGGCCGAGATGCTAATCCGCTGTCCTGTGCAAAGGTATGGGTTCTTTTTCCCATCATTACTCACTCGGTTATGCCATGGGACACGAGTACTAGAAAATAGGGACATGGATGGAAAAGTAATGCGCGAACATAAATTTCGGGTTGATAAAGTTGTGATCGGGAAGGATCCCGCTGGGCCTGCTGAGGCAGATAGCGAGGAATATGATGAGCCCAATGAAGGCAATGAGGATGTCTCTACTTCTCCACCGAATGAGCCGGGTGTTGGGATAAATTCAGATGGCGGTTAGGAAACAACCGAGAATGCCAAATCCGAGAAGAAGATCATGGCATGGTTGCGTGCACTTGGTTGGGCTTGTCATCTGAACCCCGGAACCATCTCCGGAATGGACTGACTTGATCATGGGAGTTTTCTTCATCTTTTCATTTTTCTTTGTGTGTCATGGGGATATTCCACCATTTAAAGTGTGGGGTGGGGAAATTTGTTTGTTGTATGTATTTGTTGTTGGATGTTGTAGTTTGCTTTTCTTAGTTGCCGTAGTTAGAGATAATTGAAAATAAAAGAATAAGAAAAAAACCATAAAAGTTTTTAAAAAATTTCGATTTTTCCCGACGATGGATATCATTCGACGAGTTTATTGAGGGATTAAAGTTGAAATAAAAAGACAAAAAGATTTTCTCCTTTTAGGTAGTGTATTAATTTCCCCTTGGTTTTTCTTTGTGCCGCGGTTCTTTTTCAAGGGTTTTGATTGAACCGAGTGTAGTTAGTTATTTTTTTCCTGTTAGGAGTAGGTACCCTTCGCTTTGATTTGAATGGAAAGCAACATCTCTGGACTCTATTATGCCTTGATAATAGTGAGTTCTCCAGTTGTGACTCTTAGTCTCAGTTTTTAACTCTCGTAAAAGTATCTTAAATTGTATGTTCTTGACTTTGCTTAACTGCTTTGACTGGAGCGTCTTGATGAGTCCGATTCTGAGTGAGTATGTGCCATGTGTGGATGAGGTTTTATGTTATTCTATGCATTTCATTCGATGTGTAGAACTTGCCCTATGTGTTTGCAAAGCGAAATAGTAGTTGTATTCTGTATAGGAAGTGATATATGCATTTCTTTGTTGAGCCAGTTATATGCCTTATCCACCTAATTGTTATGTATCTTAGTTAACCCCTTTGAGCCTGTAATCTTGTTTCTTTGGCAGCCAAATTACGAGCCTTACCCATTTGTTTTAATTGACCCTCTATTTGAACCTTTTGCCTCCCACGAGCACCTGAAATTACTGTGAACTTTGTAAAAGTTGAAATATGGGGGGGTTGGTTTGGCTTTTGAGTGGAACTAATGAAATAAGGAGACAGGTGCACTAGTTTGAAAAAGTAAGAGCCACTTGAATTGAACAAAAAAAGGAAGGAAGAAAAAGTGAATTGTTGTGCAAACTATTCATTGATAGTGGTGCCCGTTGATCTAAGTGTGCTTAAAGAACTTGGGGGTTAAAAATATTTATTGATGTGAATGTGGAGTATGGTTTGACATACGTGTGGGGTCTTGAATAGTTAAGTATATGTATTAAAATTGCTTGGGGAAGTGTAGTTGATAGTAGGCTATAATTGCATATTTTGACCATTAATTGCACTTTAATTTGCAGCAATTCACTAGTGTTTGAGCTTTAAATGGTAGTATTTTGCACTGAGTGTGTCTTTTATGCTTTGTAGGAGCGATTCCGATCTACGATGAGGTTGTGGAGCTAATTTGAGCTATTCTGGAGCTTTGAAGTCCGAGTAAAAACCATGGTTGTGGAGCGCACACTGGGCGCGCAGATGGAGCAGAACACTATCCAAAGTGCGCAGCCATAGGCGCGATCACCTGCCCAGGTGCGCGGCCGCGCACGTCCAGTCCGGAAAATTTCCCAAAACTATTTTTGTAATTTTGGAGGCGACTCCTCTTGACCTATATGAAGCCCATCTCATCTAAAAAGAGGGTATCTTTGATTTGGAGAGCAACTTACGGTGGAGAATAAGGAAGGAAACAATGGAGAAGCAAAATACTTGATTTAATTCATTCAATACGGAAGTTGGTTTGAATTTGGAAATGGTAATGTCTTCTTGTTCCTCTAATACTCTTGTGATGAATACTTTTTCCATTATGGAGTAATCTTGCTTAGGGTTATTGACTGATGTTGTGATTTGACTATTGTTTTGGGTTTTACTCTCTGTTAATTGCCCGAATTTATTGAATGATTTATTATTTGGATTGCAAAGCTTATTGCAGTTTTACTTTAATCGAAAGAGAAGTGTTTCTGCAATTTGCATTGTGCCATATTGTTTAGGTTGATGTTATGCCTCTTCTAGGTAATCGAAAGAACTTAGAGCGTTATCAATTAACCTAGTTTAGAAGAATAATCGAGATGTATTCTTCGAACGATCATTCATTCAATGCATTTGTGAATATGTTCATAGGATCTGTTATTCTGTTGATTAAGGGAACTCTCATTCATTCGGAAGAAGAGTTTGAATCCTTAAGGTAGCCTAATTATCTGTTGAAATCGAAGGAGTCAATAGAAATTAAGAATGAACTTAACCCAGAGTTAGCCGGAACAATAGTTGATCACATATCTTGTCACAACCCTTACCTCTCACCCTGATATTAAAACATTGCTCCTTAATCATTAAATTGCCATTAGTTTCTTACAATAGATAATCGTAGTTTAATTTGTAGTTGATAATAACATCAATCAAAGGTTTATTATCCTGGATAGTGTTGAGCTGAAGATTTATTAGAATATTATTTAAACTAATCCTTGTGGAGACAATTTAATCTTATACTACCTTTGACTAGCGAGCCTAAGTTTTATACACCGATTCTGCGCTCGTCACTATCAAGTTCGCGAAGGTTTGATATTTGAAGCCAAAACAATTCACTCGGCACTTGCACTCACACTAAGTAGGTACCTGCGCTCACTATGGGTGTGCAGACTCCGGAGGATCTCCTTCAGCCCAAGCTCTATAATAAGGCAATCATGGCATGAATCAATTAACCATGTTGCGGCGTGCAGCCCGATCCCATAAATATCCTCACAATCAGGCCCTTGGCCTCACTGAGTCATCAATCTCTCTGGTCTCTCGGGCTCTCAATAATCATGATAAATAGCCCAAACAGCGATGATATAATATATCAGTAAAGAACAATATAGACTGAGATATAATATGCGAGTAAAAACTATGACTGAGTACAAAGCGACAATTTAACAGATAATTCAACATGTAACACGACCTATGGGGGTCCCTATAGTATCAACTCATATACTAAACATGATTTCTAACATGATTTGCAGTTCAATTTCTATAAGACATGGAGAATATACTGATAACAATAGATATTACATTTCCATGCAATTGACTGAGTCATAATTACTGTGATGTACGCCAACACGCCTGTCACCTAGCATGTGCGTCACTTCAACACCAATCACATGACACAAAATTCGGGGTTTCATACCCTCATAACCAAGTTTACAACTATTGCTTACCTCAAACCATACAAATCC